ATGCACACACACTGACCCCAGCTACACAACCTTACGCACTGTCCCCAGTTACACAACACACACACTGATCCCAGCTTCACAACATGCACAAACTGATCCCAGCTACACAACACACAGACACACTGACCCCAGCTACACAACCATACACACACTGCCCCCAGCTACACAACACACACTGCCCCAGTTACACAACAACACAACATGCACCCACTGACCCCAGCTGCACAAAAGCACAATACGTGCACACTGTCCCCAGCTACACAACACACACTCACACACACTGACCCCAGATACACTGCACACATACACTGTCCCCAGCTACACTACACACACACTATGAACCCATATACACAACATGCACACACTCTGTGATTGCAGCTACACAACATGCTCACTCACTAATACTGAGCTGTGACTGGGTTAAACATGGGCTATAATTATGATGCAGTTTAATATAAGAGTGTTGTTCGTGTGGGAGGTGTTTGCAGTGGTCTTAAATTACAGCCCTGAAGCCTCAACATTAAGTCCAAGAGTTAAGTTTGGACATTAAGTTCCAGAGAGCAGGCAGGGAGTTTTTTTCTGTTCTTCTTTGCAAAGGAAGTGTGTCATTACCTTTAAGGGACAATCGAACCCTGCTCCTGAAACACTTTGTGAAATGTTGCGTTTTACATGGGCGTCAGAATGTCATGAGGTTAGTGATCAAACTACTCTGGGAGTACCGGAAATATTGCAGAAAGACCAAAGGCACAATCCAGCTAAACCAAACAATGACTCTGGGACATGCTTCTGATTCTGGGACATGCTGACCTTGAGACTTATTGCCAAGTCAGTGATTAAGCTTCCTGTTCCTTCCTCTCTCCTCCATGGCCCTCACTAGGTGGTTGGCACGGCGACGCTGTTGCTGTGCATCCTGCCCTTGGACGACAGGCTCAACAGCCCCGCCCCCAAGGGCCTGGTGCCGCCATTGGTTGGCCTGGTCGTCCTGGGGATCTCCATGGCGATGAGCTCCAACTGCGGGGCCGCCATCAACCCGGCCCGCGACCTCGGGCCGCGGCTGTTCACGCTGACCGCGGGCTGGGGGACCGAGGTGTTCACGTGAGTGAATACGCGCGCACCCGCAGGCGGGACAGAGGGGAGACCGGGGATAGAGACCGGGGATAGAGACCGGGGATAGAGACCGGGGATAGAGACAGGGGATAGAGACAGGGGATAGAGACAGGGGATAGAGACAGGGGATAGAGACCGGGGATAGAGACCGGGGATAGAGACAGGGGTAGCTCAGTGTCTCTCCCAGCGTCCGAAACTCAAACTCTCCCCGTGCTTCTCTCTCTCTCGCAGCCTCTGACTCCTTCACCCTCTCTGCTCCCTCTTCTTGTCTCTACCCATCACTGTGCCCTCCTCTGTCTGATTCCTAGTCATTTTCCCTCTCCCTGCCTCTCTGGCCTCTACCTGCCCCCATCTCTCCCATATTATTGTTTACATTTTCAAATATAACAAATAAAACATAAAACATTACATAGGGACAGGCTCACTGTTCCTCAGGCTGGGACAGGAGATCACACGCTGTATTATGATTATTGAGAGACGGGCTCACTGTCTGTTCCTCAGGCTGGGACAGGAGATCACACACTGTATTATTATTACTGAGAGACGGGCTCACTGTCTGTTCCTCAGGCTGGGACAGGAGATCGCACACTGTATTATTATTATTGAGAGACGGGCTCCCTGTCTGTTCCTCAGGCTGGGACAGGAGATCACACACTGTATTATTATTATTGAGAGAC